AAATTGTGACTTTTATGAAAAGTTGCGACTTTAATGAAGAATTGTGACTTTTATGAAAGGTTGTGAACTTTCTGAAGGGTTGTAATTTTTTCAAATAGTTGTAACTTTTGTGATAAGACACAATAAATATTTGTTCACACTACCCTTTATTGTCTATAAGTAGTGGGATTTCCTCTCATTTTAAACAACCAAAATTCTGATCTTCTTCTTCTACATGCACAAAATTAAATATTCGTGTACTTTGCTTCTGTTGAGTAACTTACTAACACTACTGTTTTTGCATTAATAAGTTGGTGAATACAATCATCCTTAATGAGAGGATGTAATTCTATAAATATCTTGTATTGGAGGGCTATGCTTTTCTTAAAGGGGACATTGAGCATTAAGTGAACTTAATTTTTTCTTTTTATTTCATTCTATATTACATATTCTGGTGTGTGTTTTTACACTCAAAATTTTATGCTTATGATATTAATTGTTTTTGTGAGTACATATTTTTAACTCTATTGTTTATGTTTCTACAAAGTTATTGTCTCCGATTAGGTTTAGCATATACACATATTGTACGTATATTCATTGTGCACAAAATAATTATTGTACACAGTTCCAAGAATTCATGGGTTGATATTCTATATTAAAATCTATAACTTAAAAAGTACTATATATAACCTTGTATATTATATATTTCACGTATATATGAAAATTTTCACTTATCAATTGAAGAAATTAATTATGCAAGTTCAAAAGTTATAATTGCTTTCATGTTCAAGCGTAATTTCTTTTTTAAATATGTTAATAGTTTTGAATTTTCTCCTTTGACATATATCACAATTGTATAATCTATGCATCTTAAATGTTTCTTTTTATTAGGGAGTGCTTTATATATATATATATATACTTATATATATACTTATTTTCTTCTTTATTTTCCTTTTAAAGTTGATTAAAGAACCAATAATTTATTATTTAGTGATTTATTCGTTCAGTAGAAGTTCTTGAGTTATAAAATAACGATAAATATTTAAACTCATGTTGGAATATTACTATTTTTTTTAAGAACCTATTTTCTCAGTATTTTTAATGTATGGATATTAGAAAAAATTATTTGCAAGTTCAATTAAATTATTATTTATGATTGCGCGAAGCACGGACAAATTACCTAGTATTATTATAAATTAAAAACCCTTACATCTTCCCCTAATTATTGAGTTTTAATTATTGTTCCTTTAACCTTCTGATATTTAATAATATTTGTCACTGACTTTTGATATGCTCTGGACTCTGGAATCTATTTATAAAGTCCACATTGTCTCATTATGGAGTCCTACCACCATTAACATTTTCCCCTTAACAATTGGATTTCTGTAGGGTGTTTTCGCTACATAAGAAAAAATTGAAATTTGATTTTGGAAATAATTGACTCAAGCTCATCATACTTTTTTTTGTGACCCATTTCATTTTCTTTTTGTTTAAGTTTTGTTCATTGATTTAGTTTTTTTTATTTTCACATGTAACAAGAGATATTTTAAAAGACCATTCCAAGAAGTTGTGAAAAAAAAATAAGTACTAGCTATATTTTTCATATGTCTGCATACTCTCAATTCGTCAGTTTTTTTAAATCTATTTTTGATGTTTTAAAGTATGAATATATGATATACATTTGGATTTTTTCTAAGCACCATCAACAAAAAAGGTAAGATTTATTATTTTGTGTTTGTTTTAGTTGTCTTTATTGATATATGAGATTTATGATTTTGGTTTGTTTATTTTTATTTTTTCACTAGCTAATTATTGTTTGGCCTTCATTTGAGTTTGTGGCTAAAAAATATGATTGCCTTACTATTATTATTGTTACTAGTGAAACTATTCGCGCTTCGCGCGATTATATGAAATATTTATAAGATAATAATATGAAATATATAATATTTAGGTTAGTATCGAATATATAGATAATATTTATATTTCTCCCCGTCTGCGATATTATAGACTTTTTAAAAACATATAAAATATATTTATTTGTTTAGTATATGTATATATTAGAACAAAATATTCACCGTGGTGAAGTAAATGGAATAAGAGATAATATGTTGAAATAACAATATATTAGAATTAGGTTGAAAATATTTTAGATGTTTTAATTTTCTCTATCTTTTCTAGGAGTAGTGATGTTCTATCTAAACTCTGATTTCGTCAAATAAAATTATTTTCTTTTATTTTATTATTACATTTGCTCATTATAATTTTTTAAACATTATTTAAATACTTGTAAGATTTTCGAAAAATGAAGCATATAAAGTCATGATTCATATTTAATATTAAACTTTACAAGTAAGATGAAGAGACATGAGTTATAAAAATTTTAAATGTATAATTTTATTAGCCACTAAATGTATTACTAATTATGTATTGATTTTATTTGTAAAATAAAAAAATAAAAAAAGGTGTGAAAATACAAAAAAA